AACAGGATCACATCCCTCTTTGCATTCCAAGAGTTTTCTAAAATTAATTTAAAAAAAATGTTTATTATGATATGAAACTAATCCTTATGATCAGGCTGAAAGGAAGGAGGAAGTGAAACAAAACAACATGGATACCATGCAGGAAAAACTAATCACTTTTAAAATGTATCAACATATATTTTAAAATTTGTTTGCTTATTTAGGTTGTGCCATCTGCTCTGATTGTCCTCTTAGGGTCTCAGAGTTTGTAAAATAATATTAAAAGTAGATAAAGTGGAATTTTGACCGAAGACAGATAAAGTGAAACAGACATAATACAGATGGGTGTCTTCCTGTATAATGAACACATTTCAAATGGAATTCTTGGCTGTTGCTTAGTAAATCCTGGAGATAATTGAAAAAGGAAAAGAAAAAAATCCCGGAGAAACAATGGTGAACCAATCAATTTGACACAAGTAGATTTGTCCAATCTATTATGCCTTTCCAAGAGAAAATTTGCCCATGAACTTGGCAATGTTGCTTGATGTAAGTTGCTTGGCAAAACAGCTGCAGCATCTGAGTTAAGAAAGAGCCTGCCAGACATGCTGTGGTAACCTCCAGCTTAGATTACTTTACTTTGGGTTGGCCTGCCTTTAAAATCTAGCAAAACACTTTCACCAGATCTTGATTGCTGTGGTCAGACAGTTGACAAAAATAACTAAAGGGCCACGTTATCCCCAGTCTTTAAGGAAGTGTATTGATCTGTAACGGAGATTTTGGACATTTTGAAATGGTTCCCCGAAGGAGCACATCTGATCTCTACGATCTCTAACTTGAAACATCTGTTTTCAAAATTCATAGAAAACCACTAAAATATGCGGTAAGGTTAGCAAGAGAAGATCTTTTGAAATCGCTTTCAGTTAAATGCTCTGCTATCATTTTGGAAAAATTTTGTTTAGAAAAAAAAATGGTCTGTCCTGCTCACCTTCCATCCTGAGTCGAGTTATCTTTGTACTGGCGAAAAAAAATGTTTTCATAGGTCTCTTCTATTTATTATGCTAAATGGTACTTTTAATGTTCTTCTTTTAATGTGGCTGGATTGTATCATTTTATAGACTTTGTTCATGGGCCATTTAAGAAAGTATTGCTTAAAAGCCGCTCAAGATGGAATTCATACTTTGCTGAGAGTTTTTAAAAAAAATGTCTCCACTGTGTCTATTCATAATTCCAGGCAATCATTTCCTTTTTCTGGAGGCTCTGTTTCTGTCCTCTATCATTTCTCTCACACTTCCTTTATAGTCAATGTTTCATGTTCAAAGTACATTTAGTGCTCAATGAGTTGATCCGCATCCACTTTCCTTCTTCCCTAAATATATTTGCAGAAATGCCTTTGAGTTTAATAGTAATGCTGTTTCTGGATTTATTTATTTATTTGCTTGTTTGTTTATATGGCATCAACCCAATGGCTCGAAAAATTTTGACTAACCAGTAAGTTTATTCAGAAGACAATGTCTCCAAAAATGTCCCTCTCCTTTCATCTTTAAAAGCAGCTGCCTTCCCATAACTACTGCCTTTTTCAATATTAATTTGATGAACTGCATTTTTCTACATACCAACAGTCCAATGGTGGGATTCAATTTTTTTTTTTGCTACCAGTTCTGTGGGCATGGCTTCGTGCCATGGTGTGGCTTGGTGGGTGTGGCTTGAAGGATGTGACAGGGGAAGGATACTGTAAAATCTCAATTCCCACCCCACTCCAGAGAAAGGTTACTGAAAAATCCCCATTTCCTCCCAATCAGCTGGGACTCGGGAGGCAGAGAATAGATGGGGCGGGCCAGTCAGAGCTAGTATTTACTGGTTCTCTAAACTACTCAAAATTTTCACTACTGGTTTTCCAGAACTGGTCAGAACCTGCTGAATCCCACCTTTTACTTTTACTTTTTACTTTTGCCTTTATTTGTATGCCGCCCTTTTCCCTAAGGGGACTCAGGGCGGCTCACAATTCAAAAGGGAGGGGGGAAAAGACAAACAATAGACAATACAGCATGTTAAAAAAAGA